TAATTAACATCTAATTATCGATAAAAAAATGAAAGAGACACTTTATAATGTAAATTGAAATAATAAAGTTAAATTTACTTCATTTCCGGTTGTTTGTGTCTTTTATTAATATTTTCTCTTCATTATTCATCTTTTAGTCAAATAATTAAATAGAAAATATTAGTTTAAAATAATAATAAGCTAACTACAACCAATGAATGTTTATTCTCCTAAATTATAGAATTACAATGAAAAAAAAGACGATATGCATGCAATTAAATTTTCTATAAAATAACATAAGAGCATTTGATGGTTTATGCTATCGAATATGATCATTCAAGCTTATTTTCAGTATTAACTATATCTTACTGCATTGTATACTTATCATTATTTTTTTAATCTATATGCAACTATCACGGGAGTATCGTCTAAAATCATACCAATTAAGACACATCAATATCAATATTATTTTTCATTTACGTGCACAAATTTCTTGGTGTTTCCCTGCTAGTACCATAAATGGGTGAACTTCATCATAGTTATTCATGCATATGCAAGCAATCAAAATAGTCAATCACATTCTTATTTTTTTTGTTGCATATAATAATATGTTGAATTATACATTTGATGGACATATACTCAGTGATATATGATTTAATATGATCAAATAAACTTAAAGAACAAATATACCATTTTGATTTTAATCTTGTCGTATAAAACCTATTTAAACAATAAAAAAGTACATTTGATTTAGAAAAAAATTATACTACTATAATTTAAAAGTACAAGTACTCACCTCAAAATCGTATGTTTAGTCTTAAATCTTCAAACACGCTTAATCTTTGTCTATAGTAGTTAGCAACCTATAATATCATAAAAATTAAATTTTTAAGCATATTATTAATTATGTTTAATTAATATTTAATTAGTTATGTCATTTGAATTATTGATTAGAAACTTTTATTCTAGGTGATCATGTTACTTTAACTTCGCTATCAAAACTATAACTTAATCAAAATCAACAATTTGTATTAATTTTATTCAATATCTAAGTCCACTCTAATTTAAATAAGTAAATGAAAACTTTATTTTCATATTTCAAATAAATCTTTCGTACTATTATTATTATTACATGTCTATAAACCATATAATTTATATTATTAAAATATAAAACTTATAATTTTTACCTCTTCCAAATGCTCTAGTCGGTTTCCTTTATCCACCGCGCCGCTCTAATTAGGGCACGAGCTCTTCTTACTCTTTCTTCTACTTGAACTTGCAATTCAAAACACCACACCTGCAAATCAAAACACTGCAGCCAGTCTTTCTCAAGCTAGGGCTCAGATTGCCTTCGATCCCGCACAAAAACACACAACTATCTCAACACGTGAGGTTCTCTTCTCCTTCCTTCACACACAAAACACACATGTGGCTCCTCCTTCCTTCTTATAGGATAAAAATTCCTCCGTTTCTTCTTCTTATGCTCGAAGGTAAGGTTCTTGACGAAGCATCCTCCAACACAAATAAGGATTTCGAAAATCTAGGAACAATGATAGGATACGCCTACCGGACAATACTACAGGTCTGACTACTTATTCTACCAGAGTAAGTTGTGCATTCTTAGATGTTCGCTAAGAGAGTCTATTATTCAGAAAAGCCATAGTGGAGGACTCATGGGATATTTTAGCAGAAAAAAGACTCTCACACTCGTGAGAGAACACTTCTTTTGTTCCAGATTACTTAGAGATGTGGAGCAACACATCAGACAATGCAGGATTTGTCATATAACATAAATCAGAGGACAAAATGCAGGGTTATACACCTCTTTACCAGTACCAGAGGCACCGTGGGTGGGCGTTAGCATGAATTTCTGGTGTGTCTTTCGAGACACAATAGAACAAGGATTTAGTCATGGTCGTGGTTGATCAATTCTCGAAGATGGTGCATTTAATACATTGCCACCGTACATTGGACGCATCGCATGTTGCCGACTTGTATTTCAGGGAGATTGTGAGATTGCACGGGATACCCATGACCATCACTTTAGACTAGGATGTCAAGTTTCTGAGTCATTTCTGGAAGTCTTTGTGGGGAAACTAGACATTAAGCTTCAATTCAGTTCAGCAACGCACCTTTGGATGGAAGGTTGAACTGAGCTAGTAAACAGAGCCTTGGAAATTTGCTTAGATGCTTTGTGGGAAAAAAATATCAAGTAGTAGGATTTTATTTTAGCTTAAGTCGATTTTGTTTACATCAGATTTATGAATTAGAATACGGACTGCACCCCATTTGAGATCATGTACTGGTGCAACATGCTCACCCAACTTGAATTAGCACGCTTCCGTCGACATCAGTGAGTAGTTAGAATGCTGAGGAATGGGTGCACGAGATTCAGAAATTTCACGAGGAAGTTTGAAAAGATATCACTAAGCAAAATTATAAATACCAAGCATAGGCGAACAAAACAAGGAAAAATGTCACCTTTAAGGAAGAAGATCTAGTATGGATCCGGTTGAAGAAAGAGAGATTCTGAGTAGGAGCAATTAGAAAACTGAAGCCCAAAGTAGACAATTCTTTTGCAATACTTTAAAAGTTGAATGATAATGCCTCAAGATTGACCGGCCAGGGGACTACAATGTTTCTACCACATTCAATGTCGCGGACTTGACATCATATTACGAAGCTTCATAAGCTTCGACGAATGAAGTCGAAGCTTCTCCAACCTGAGAGACTGACGTGGGGCTTGACTTGCAGCAGGAGTCTCGGTCCAGCAGGAAGCTAGACCAGTTGACGGTTTGAAGGGGCGAGAACTACCACCCGCTTTTCCCCATCTCTTATTTCATTTTTGCACTACATATTTGTTGTTTGAGTATTTTAGAGTTCAGTTTTGCTCTTTCTGATTTCAAAGTTCCCACCGTCAGGCGTCTCCTCCCTGTTAGAGCTGTATCTGAGGATAGATGTTGCTCTTGCTGTATTCTACTCCGAAGTGGTGGTTATCTCGGCAATCCCTCGTCGTATTCCTTCATACCTACTGCCAGCAAGCCCTTCCAACGCCTTCCCTGTTGCTGCGAAGCCTATCTTGCGCCTTCCTTGCTGTTGCCAAGCCCTTCAAGCATCTAAGCTGCTGCCACCAAGCCCCCTGCGTCTACCCGATACTGCCAATAATCCTTCCCCTGTGTGTGATTCACTGCCGCCAGCCCAACTGCACATCCCCTAAGTGCAGCCGACCTGATCAGGCTTTCTCCTTGCGGCCGCCACCCTCTCTGCACTTAGCACACTACCGCCGAATCCTTCCAACTGCTGGTGCTGCCGCATCCTTCCCCGCCCTCTACTTCCTGGCTGTCATAGCCTCTTAAACCACCCCCACGTCGATTGTCCTGTCGGAATTCATTATGCCCTTGCTCTAGGGTCTCATTTGTATTCATGTCATTTATTCCCAGTTTTCTGAACCTTTATAGTGCTTCTTCCTAAATTCCAGCAATAATAATCATATTTGCTTATTTTCGGGTTACTTTGGTATCAAACTGTTTACCTTGAAAATCATGAATCTCAAAATTTATCTCAACCTTGAATGTTGCCGGCATGCAACCCTTGAAAAGTCAAAATATCCTAACCAATTAATGAAGTCTTCTCAGAAGAGATCTCAGCTTAGGCAACTCTTGATTCTCCTCCGGAAACTATTGGCTCAAATATTGTTCTAACCACATCATAAATGCTTATGACCACAGCGATTGTTTGTCATCCCACTACACCTGTTGTTAGTAATAAAACACGAACTGGCAGATATCGACCATTAACTATGAGTTTTGTTGTTTTTTTCTGGTTGTCTCCTCATTTAGTGCCAGTGCCCATTCTAGCCAATAGAAGCAACACAAATCTATCATTAGCATCACAGATGACCCACAGCTGTAGGAATCATTATGACTAATGACTTGAACTCTTGACAAAAGGCATCATTACCGAAGATGATGGTAGATTCACATGTCTATGAATGCTGATTTATCTATTAAGAAAAGAACTTCTAGCAATTGAGATAGACATTTTGAGATCTAGCTGTTGCAGGCTAGATTGCACCCTGCTGTTTAGCAAGTTTGGTTTGATTGATAACTAGTAATCTCTTAATCCTCTAAATTTCATTGCATGAAAGTTTATTGTACATCATATTTATTACATTAAGTGCCCTGAACTTGTCAGTCTGCATAACCTGGTTCTGTGAAATGACTCCCAGAAAATTGGATTGGGAACCTTGCATGGGGATCGTAAATTCTCTAGGAAACAAGTTGTAATTATAAATCACTACTGAAACATCATATTTTCTCTTGATTGATATATAGCACAAAAGGCGCAGATGAAAACACTATCTTAAGACCCCGAATAACAAAACAATAAGAACAGTACGATAAATTCCATTTATCAGTGAACCAATTTAAAAGCTAATCTTAAAGAGCAATGAATAGCAAAGCAATTTGCATATGGAAATTCCTAGTTAGCTGAAAGACAATGAACTAAACCATCTGGAATTTGAGCAGGTTACCAACTAAACCACCTTAGTGTTATGCTAAATTTTAAACTGACTTTGCGCTAAGGTATTAAATTAATAGAGAATACATCTCGTTTTATAGGCATATTTAAAATATTAAAAGTTTTAAATAAAATGAAACTACTTTAAATATAATTGATCATGACTTTTTTCATTTAAGTTTTCTCTGGAGTGTAAACACACAAATCCCCATCAATATGGTACGTGATGTTCATACCGGGAGCTATCACAAAAGTAAGGTCAACATGAACAAATTCAACAAAGAGTTGAAGTTGGAGTAGTGAGGTTACTGTCTTTATACGCATAATATTACTTGGTTTTTCATGGGTTTTTTTATTTGTGTTGAAATTTTTCTGTGTATTTAAGTCAAAACTCTTTGGTAGGATGGTAAAAGACATGGTTTTCCCTTTCTTATTTGATGCCCATTTTGTAATTTACTTTTTGTGCATTAATTTGATGATGAAACATTTTCTCTTTGCAGGGAGATTTATGCAAATTTTCTCATGATCTTATTCCTTTGACAAAATCCATGGTAAGCATTTTGTTACTGTTTCCTTTAGACTTATAGATTTATGGTATGTTGCCAACGTTGTAGTAAATTTTGAAAATGATTCTTGCTTTGCTTAGGAGTATTAATACCTTTTACATTCTAGATAGTTTCTTTTTGTTTCAGTTGCTAAGTGTTGTCAATTTAAGTGAGACTAAGTACGTTTCTGCTGTAGTAATTATCTGGTTCATTATTAGTAATATATACAGTCAGAAGCTGTGCTTTCATTAGCATCTATTGTTAATATGATGCTTTGAAATTCATAATTTTATGGTTATTGTGAATTGTCATGTGTCTGATGTATGTTGTCAACGTTGTAGAAACTTTTGAAAATGATTCTTGCATTGCTTAGAAGCATTAATGCCTTTTACATTCTAGATAGTTTCTTTTTGTTTCAATGCTAAGTGTTGTTAATTTAAGTGATGCTAAGTAGTTCTCTGTTGCAGTAATTATCTTGTTCGTTATTAGTAATATATAATCAGAAGCAGTGCTCTCAGTAGCATCTATTGTAATAAAAGCTATGTTTGCATTCACTTAATTTTGTTCTAGCAGCAGTTCTGAACTGTTTTTGATTTCAATATGCTTCTTTGTTAAAATTTTCTTAAAAGTTTTTCTTGTTCACTACGGCCTATAAATGTAGTTCTTGCTTCCATGGAGTTTATTAATTTTACGTGAGGGTGCTTCTGACATATTTTCTAAATGGGCACATGCTTACTATTTTCTCACTGTTTTGCATTTGTTCTAGCAGCAGTTCTGACCTTCTTTGGATTTCAATATGTTTCTTTGTTAAATTTTTCTTAGAAGTTTTTGTTTTTCTCTGAGACCAATACATTTAGTTCTTGCTTCCATAAAGTTCATTGCCTTTAGGGGACGTGTTTCTGAATATTGTCTAAATAAGTACATGATTACTATTTTTTCATTGTCTTGCATTTACAAGTGCAAACCAGAATGCAGCTTTTATCTTGTTTGGGTTTTTAATGGGGCAAGACTGCAGGCCATACTAGCTTGCCTGCTGACAGCATTGTCTAATGGCACTACTACAATGTAAAATTGGCAATTTTTTTCAATCAACAAGAAATAACGATTGTAGGAGAGAATTTTTGGGGAGGAGAGAGAAGGAGAGATGAGAGGTATGATGATGTCTATGGCTTGGACATTAATTTGTGGGTTGCTTGGGCTTGAGAGGTTTCTAAAAGGTGTAAAAGTTCAAGAGAAGCGGATTTTGGTTTTCATACAATGGGAGTTAAGCCAAGCAAGAAAATGTGCCAAATCTGAGAAGCCTTATTTGTGGTTTATGAATTTGATATAGGGAAACTGCAAGACTCTAGGCCTTGAGGTCACTTGGAATAGTTGGGAAACTGAGTTTAGAATTGTTCTGAGGCATTTTATGTATATTTTTTTTTCATTGATTTTAGGAGAGCTTTATGAGGCATTGATCAAGGACTAGGTCTTATGGCAGAACGCTTTGGCTGAGAGCCTTAGAATGGGACTGAGATTTTATTGGAGTAGGTTATGGATGAGATTAAGGCATGACAATGCTACTGAATGTTGATGGAATGTTTCTAGTTTAGTTTTGGAGTTTTTTCCAAAATTCCAAGGGGTTTTGTTAGCCAAATGAGTTCAAGAACGAAATTAGGTTTTGTACATGTAAAGTTTGCCAATAGCCCCTTCAGGGTTTTCGATGACTTTTTGTTAAAAATTGATGTGTAAAAATTGTGTGAATTGGTAAAGGTTGGATTTTTTTTTAAAGCAAAGGATTATTAGTTTTAATGTAAAATACTTGAGATTACACTCATCTAAATGATAATTTTAAAAGATCACTAAATCTCTGCAAAGATGGGACCGACTACCAAACCTGCTCTTGCTTGAGGGAGCGCTCATGTATGTGTTCGTAAAGTCTTTTGCACGAACACATAAGAACTTTTGGTCAAAACACTTAAAATCAACAAACTATTCATAAAGTCTTACATTAGTTTTAAATTTCAAAGGCTAGAGTGAGGGAGGGAGATAGGGTCAGCCCATACAAGCATAAGGAGAAGTGGCAAATGGGTTATAACTTTCATTTGAGTAATTACAAGTTCCCTCTCTTGTTTCATAGTCTAGCTGGCATATACCTTTAACATTTAGAAATAAAGAACCAGTTTCAAGGATATTTGTAGCACCATTCTTCCAATCTTGTCTTGTGATGCTACTCCTTTAGTTGGTCCAATAAGCCAACTATGATGCCCTTGTTGGGGCTAATTCGTATTTTGTCTAGTTCAACTCCAATAATTCTTTTTATAGGCATTTTGATTTCTCCTTTGTTTTGACTAATTCAAGCTTTCAAGTTTAGGCTAGTTCCTTAATTTCTTTTATGATGCTTCGTTTGGATTTCTCGAGGGAGTCGAAGAGAGGGAGAGGAAGTGAGTTGGTCGGAAAAGGAAAGGGTATTTTTTGCTCTATAAATCATCGCAGTCAAAGGCGAGATCGACTTACTTTTAGAGCTGAACGCTCTGGTACGAAAGAGAGGAGGACACTACGGTTTGTTTAGGAGGTGTTGTCGAGCAGGTTATGGCAACAATGCTATGCTCGTGTGCAGAGAAAGTGGAAGCGAAAGGAATAAGAAGAATGAAGTTATTGCAGTTTTCCCTGCCGTGTGAAGGCTATTGCCTCGACTGAACCCCTGCAGAGGAAGGGAAGCTCTATGCTTGTGTATAGGCGCATGACTGTGTCCTAGGCGACCATAAAAGAAGAGAAGTGGAAGAAAAGATGAGATTAGGGATGGCTTATGGCAGAAGTGGGAGGAAGAATGAGTCGAGTGTCTTTGTGTGCAAAGAAGAAGAAGCAACATCACGTGCCCAGAGGAGAGAGATGGGTTAGCGTGGATTATGACTCTCGAATGAGGTTTAAATGTAAGTTTTAATAATTTTGATTAATTAATTTAATAAGAATACACACACAAACACTGTAATGTTAATATAAACTTTTATTAAATTTGGACTTAGTTTAGAATTTCAGATTGGAGGGAAATAGAAGGACGCGAAGTGTGTTAGCTAGAGGAGCAAGATTGGGAAAGTTTGGGTTTAATTTAATTAATGAATTTAAATAGCAAAATAAAGTTAATTAGGATTTCATAAAGTAAAATGATGAAATATTTAAATAATGTAAAGTTATTAATTTATTAAAATAATATTAATAAATTAAATTTTATTTTTGTTAATGTCATGTTTATTATAGGCATCAGTCTTAGAAGAATCGAGATCAAGGAAAAATACAAGAACAAATAAATCGTTTTCGATTTGAGGACTCATGTTCGCATATTATAGTATTATTTTACTTCTTCTAAGAGCAAATACATTTACCGGTATTATCACTAGTTATATTGAAATTGTTGCAAACTTAAGATTTTAGTTTCTATTGAATTTTTGTTCTTACTATAGGGATGATATGTGTACTCAATATTATTTAAATTATCATAAATATTGAATATTATATTGATTGCTATACAAATGAGGATGAAATAATTATTAATAGATAATGATTTTTGTAGTATTTTTGTATGTATATGCTTGGCTATGATGGAGCCACCCAATTATGATACTCGTGGGGGAAAATTAAAGTATTCTTGTACCTAAATGGAAAAAAATATTGTTATTGAAGTTTTTTGAATGTACAGTTGTTAGACGGTGCTCCTGTAACGGTTGTACATATGTAACATGATAATGATATATTATTGATATAGTGAAATAACTTATTTATTACGAAATATTGTGAGTGATCATATTCATAAAATATCAAATGTTTTATATTGATTTATTTAAAAGCTTGACTAACATACATATTATTTTCTTTTTCATTGTGATTACTATAATTTAGAAGTATTAGTACTAATTGATTTTAGTTAACTCATAGTTATTCTAAACTTTTTTCAGGTGTAATTAATTGATTAAGCGATAACTACAATACCTTTATCCCACTTAATGGGGTCAACTACATGATTCCTTTTTCTCCATTGCATTTTATTTAGTGTCATAATTTTATTTAATTCTAATAAATAGATCATTTTTTGTACAATACGCTTAAGTCTTCATAGGTCTACCTTTGCCTTTCTTAACATTAATCGAATCTAAAACATCTATTCTTCTAATCGGATTATCAGATGGTCGACGTTTAATGGGACCAAACCTTCTAAGACGACTCTCTCTAATAAAAGATGATCAATAGAAGAGAAAATATTTATAAATGATGCAAACAATCTATAAAAACGATAATTTAATTTCTGTAGTGCCTCGTTCATTTGTTAAATGTTAATGAATATAGTAAACTTAATTGTCACAACCCGGCCGTCTGTACCCACATTGGTAAATTTCAAGCCCCATGTATGATTAATTAATACATTCTTAATGAAAGAGCCAATAAGATAATTAAAAAAAATATAATAATAATAAAAATTAAAAATTTTGGTTAACTCAAATTAATAATTATATCCATCAGACATAAAAATGCACCCGAAACTATAGAGGAAGTGAGTCTGATGTAAAATGATAAAATAGAATCTACTATAAATGTGAACACGAATGTCCTAGCCCAGACGACCATGACTTAACTAATTCACGTGTCCAGTTCGTAGCCTATTGGAAGTTATGTAGCTTCTGTAGATAATTACTTAAAAAATATTGCAAGATTTACGTCCATCATTATTTAAGGGAATTGAAGATTCGATTGAAGCAGGGAATTAATTGGTGCAAATTGAGAAGATATTGGATAGTGCGACCTTCTCGGATGAAGGAAGACTGCCATTAGCTGCATTTGTGTTAGATGGAGAAGCCGAAAGGTGGTGGCGTAGATAGTGTCAAGATAAGCTAGGGGACATACCCAATATGATGGTTTGTTAGGAGGAATTTGTGGAGCTATTCAGAGAGTGGTTTGTACCTCTATCTACTCGAAGACAAACGCATGACAAATTTATCAGATTGGTTCAACGAGAGAAAACTATCAGTATTGTCAAGTATGCTTCACAGTTGATCACTAATGTAAAAGAGAAGTGCTACATATTCTTTTCGAGATTAAATAATTCGATCATACAACCGTTGGTGCCATTGGGGTAATACTCAATATTAGTGAAACAAGCTAGAAGAGTGGAGATCGATTATTAACTTAAAAGTATTAGGAGACATACAAGAGAAAGAGTATTAATGAAGGAGAACATGTAGATCAAGCAGAGGGATCTAATGAAAAGAAGTCCAAGTTCAATTCGTGTGGATTTAGTAGAGGTTTGATTCAGAGTAATGTAGTCATTAGTACCAAATGCAGAAGACAACATCTGGGAGAATTCTTGATGAGCTTTAGCACATGCGACTAGTGTCGTAGCGAGATATTGTCCATCGATTGGCCATAAGAGCATTGAAGATCATAAATCAAGTGGAGCTTCTTCACAGAAGATTGCACGTGGGTAGAAAAGGATAGAGTTTATAGCTTCAGGACGTCTGGTTTATTCCCTTACTCAATAGTGAGCCTTAAGAACATACTGCTGCTGATAGTGGTAGAGTCTGATGAGTTTGGCATTTTCTCACATGTGTGTTTTCCTAATGTATTTTCCATGTGATATGTTATCCTGATTTTGTTGATAAGGGGAGTATAGTTGAGCCGCCTTATATCAGGTCTTTACCTTAATTACTACTTCTCTTCTTAATGAATGACTCTGAGTTTTTATGATGAAATTAATGGATTGTTCATGTCAATTTGCTTAATAAGAGATGACTTAAGGTTTGTCTTTAAATTTTGATAATGAAATTTTTTAAGTGGAAAAGATTGCGACCCTCGTTTCGTATTCACCATATCGTGCGTTCTGACTTCATTTTGCATGCTCAACACTTATAACCTGCAAAATACCACAAAGAATCTTTCACAAGCATAAAATTATGATAAATTCAGAATGTCCAGAATGTAAGCCCCAATATTTTGATAGCAAGTTATTATAACTTTGGTGTATCATTTCCAAATTGAATATACAAATCAGTCAATTTTTAAAAAAATAATATGAATATTTTCTACGAATTTGGTGGAACTTTTGTAAAAAATTACCTTGGAACGTTTTTGCCACTGTATCGTTTTCTTGTTATTATCTACATAATCATGCCTAATTTGGGAATACTATTAAGTTGAAGATCAATTTTCTGTTTTCTTGGTGGAGTTGGCTATTAGTTTATCCAAATAGTGCTTAAACCAAATTTAATCTATAGATTGGTTGACTTAGGCATGTTGATTTTGAGGATTAAGATAATATTCTATTGCATGTGAATGCTATTGAAGCTGAAGCTCCCACGTTTCATCAATTATTTTTTTAAATTCACTCATAAATAGGCTCCTCTCTTCCAGAGTTTTATGCCTCAATCTCTCTTTCCTAATCTGTTGTGTGATAAATGAAATTCATATTAGGCTTTTTTTTTTCCTTAATCAACTATTTTAAAATATGAACCAAGAGTTTAGTTATTGCTATATTATGAGTCACACGTAATCAAAACATATCATTCAAAACAATTTTTTGAAATCTTTGCCCTAGTATTTTTTGTATGTTCACAATTTAACAATTGTGTAACTCTAAAGAAAATAATAATAATAATAATAATAATAAACTATTGTGTTGAGGCGAGTGCATGTGGGTGAGATAGGAGGAGAGTGTTTACTAGCTAGGATGTTTACTTGGAAAGTGTATAGTTTATTTTTCAAATTCTTAAATTTATAAACTTAATTTTTGAGTTTTATGCCTCAATCCAAGTGAATGACGTGCGCATTATTCATGTTGAGGCATACTTATGATTGCCACCATGAAGCATACATCTCATGCCAAAATTTATAAAAAATATTATGTTACTCACATCATATGCTAAAATTTTGAGCAATTATTATGAAGTGTTTAATATATTCTAATAATTTTAATTTATCATATTGTTAAGATGACATAATTATCAAAATTTTGTTTTAAAAATAGTTAAATAACACATAATATCCAGAACACTCGTAATTTCTTGGCTTTACCATTTGAGCTGTGTTGTGACTTACTTTCCCTCACGATAGGTTGACAGACTGAAGGAATTTGTACCTTAAGCTAATTCATAAATAACAGTAATTGTAGACATAGCAGCAAGAAAAAATGGATGCTTTAACAGAATTCATGAGCTGTAATTTATTACACATTCTTAGTTCATTATTGAAAAATACTAACCGAGCGTAAAATTAAAATTAAACAAATCCTTTCAGTTTTTAGAAAAAAGTTATCATGTATGGTATGAGAGCAGTCATGATGAGATATGTTTGAACAAATACATGATTGCATTGACATGCAGCACAAATTGTTATGAAGACTCTTGTCCTAGGAACATGTAGGATTATACACTAATGATGTCGGTGTAGATGGAGTTCTATGAACCTTTGCGTCCAATGAATCTTTGCTATCCCTTTAATGGATATAGAGAGGGAATTGGGGAAAGATGTGGCATGTAAGACCTAAAGCATTTTTAAGTTTTTAAGAAGTCTTTTATGTATGGGCAGTCCCTCCATTTGTGGAACGTGTTTATTCTCCATGGATCTATTATAAACCAGCGGTTTTGGTGTCGGTTCCCAGTTGATCAGATTTTTCAGGTCAATTAATTTATCCATTCTGTGAGGTCAATGAGTTTTTATGTATTTAGACATGATATTGAATTTTTCAAGGGTTGCTTAAACCTATGTTGTCTCGTGCTGAGTTGTGTGCTGTTGTCGAGTAAAGTAAATGAAATTGATAAAATCACTGTTAAATCTACCTTTCGAAGTGCTATGATGATTGAATTAGTTTGGTAAAGTCACTGTGAGAATAATTAAATTTTTAACAAAGTCATGCTTATTAATTAATAAATGGGATCAGCTAAATTATTTCAAAAATTGTATTGTTTATAAAATTAATAATGTAATAATTAGGAATTTTGCATTAATGAATTAAATTAATTAAAATACTGATTAGTCAATTATTCAATTAATTATTTAGTAATAATAGACTATTCTTTGATAAAGAAACTTTAAGAAGTCCATCTGTGAAAAGGGTACCCTGATGAGAACATGTGCAGACTGCATGTGGTGTGCAATAGAGGTGGCCCTCAGGTGTAAATTGGAAAAGGAAAATAGTTTTTTTTCGATGATGCTATGTCTACCCAAGGGCATTTTTACATGCAGAAATTTTAAAATTGCTTTTGATAAAATTTTGTTACATGAAACTATGCCTGATTTGATAACTCCTATATTTTAGGTTTATTACAGCTTAACGTTTCTATAAAATAATTTGCTTATCCGTCGACAAATGCAGTAGAACCGATTCTGCTGTCTTGAAAAGCATAAACAGGTGTTACAAAGTTGCTTCCCTTGTTCAAAGCATAAGTAGATATCGAAAAGCATCACAAAATTGGTCTTTGGTTTACTGCCGTTCTTGGCCCACTGACTCCACTCACTGCTTTTTACACCAACAGCAAATCAACAAATGTGATAGTAGCGGGCCTCTTGAAAATGCTTTGCTGTGTACTTCGTTTTGGTGCCACAGCCGTTATGAAAATAGAAAAACCTTGCTTGCTCTTTTTTGCTTCACAATTTCTGTATTCGAAGTTACATACTGAAAGACAACGACCGACAGGAAAACAATCATAAACTAATTTTATGTCTATTTCCTTTCCATATTGTCCCTTTCTATACAACTATATTTTACACTGATAAAAAGATAAATAAAACTACTGTCTTCTGTGGTTATATTTTTGTTTTTACTGGTCAAATTAATCTGCATGATATTTTGTGTTTGATCGTTCTTAAATATTTTGAATTTCAGCCGTGCAAATACTTTGTTAGTAATTCTTGTTTGAGAGGTGATGACTGCCCATATGATCACGAACTTTCGAAATATCCCTGCCTCAACTATTTGTCCTCAGGCAGTTGTAATCGAGGAGATAGATGCAAGTTTTCTCATAAGGTATCTGTTGAAACTATTGCAACTGCCATTTCTGTTAATCTGTTGATGTTCAGGAGCTACATATTTCATATTTCCAGAATTTATCATAGTATTCTGACCAGTTTAATTTGTTGATGCTTCTTCTCAGTTAACAGACAGCAAAATAGATTCACTGTTGACTTTGGAACAACAAAAATTTAAAAACCAGCTTGTTAACTCTCATGCTTCTCCTCTTGGCATAGGTCCGTTTGAAAGTAAAACTATAGAAACGGTGCCACTAAGAAATAAGCCATTGACCGATGCTAATCGAGTGCCAAAAGGTATACGTTTTATTTCATTTGGGACAGTCCAGACAGACCTTACCAACAAAGTTGAGAAAAACCTTCCTGTGAACAAGTCCTGTCACACCGGAGCATACAACAATCACCAGAAGCAAGATGATTTGTTGGCGCGTCAGCACAAAAGTGCCTTGAATTTATTATGGAATTCCTTACCGCCCGAAAATTCTGTGATGTCTGGTGGATTAGTAGCTCATGTTTCTTCAAATGACTTTGCCGTCAAGGATTCAGGGAATGCCACCAAGGGATCGCCTGCAGCTCATCCTGGTGGAACTGCTAATGATAAAGTTTCAGAGGCTGCAAAAATTTTGGACGAGTTCTTGTTTTGTGGTGCAGACTAGAAGCAACAAGTATAATTTTGTTACCCACTCATTTTCTTTTTGTACTAATTAATTAAGCTTAATTTACAGTCTCAATTTTAGTGAGGAAGGATTCTTTAGCATGTCTATTTATGTAGGCAGTTTACTAAATTTTGTGTCTTGTACAACTTCGGTGTATTTTATGGGTTCGATAGTAGCTGCTTTAGCTTCCCACACAAATTTCTTAATTTTAGACTTCGTATGATTCATCGAGAAAAGAACTTACTATCTTCGGAATTTGATGCTACATCTCTGCTCAATACCAATTTCATATGTTGATTTTTTACTATTTTTATCTGTAATAAGCAAGCACTTACAAACTTTACTTACGAAATAATAGCTTAGTAATGCATCTTTACGGTGCTTTCTCTATCAATTCAACTTTTGATCAATACAGTGCAGTATATAGGCCATACCTCTTCTGATTTTTTTTATTCTCTTTTTTTATTCTCGTGAAGTATTTTTCCTTGCTACGGCTGAAGAAAATCATTATTTTGGACAGTTCATATGTAAAAAGCCTATCTTTTTTCTAATATTTACTATATAATTATATTTTTTTTTATAGTAAAGATAGTCGCATGTAATGACAAATCACAATCATATTGTTAAAAGATTGTGGTAAAAATGATTTTTGTTCTAGTGCTTGAAAATAATATTCCAAAGCTATTATATGCTCTTCGTTGCTTGTGTGTATAATACCTATCTTATAGGGTATATAATTTTGATCATAGAGATCAATTTCTAATTGCGTAGCTTCATAATAATTCTGTAAAGATTTTGTATAAATTCCTTGGAATTGAGCCAACAACTGTTATGGTCCGTTCATTTTAGTAAAGGAATCTTCGTTCCTGAAAGATATTGGCTTCAATTGAAGAGGTCTTATAAAAAAGAAATTAATTTATTCGACATCTAGGCATAATTAGCAATTCATTCTATAATTATTCTCATCATTTTTCGAGGAAAATGATCCCACAAAAAAGGAATTGTAAAGTACAAAATAACAAAAAAAATGAAAAAAGAAAAAACAGAATTATTGGAAAAATTACGGTGTTTTCTTTTTGGACAAAGTTAAAATGAAATTGTTGAATTATCTTAGATATCATTCCAATTTCATAGTATCCACCATACCGTTGACTTTACTATTTCATCTAAGTAACCATATTTTCTATGGATCTTGATTACTTGAGAATTTTTTATTTGTTTATGATCCAAAGGGGAAAAGAATGAAATAACAATTCATTCAAATTCAAATAAAGTACCCATCCTTTTTTTTGCATAAATTGTATGTGTCATACCATCAATTGAAATACAACAACAACAACAACAACAACAACATCAAAGCCTTAATCCCACTATGTGGGGTCAGCTACATGAATCCTTTTTCCCATTGCGTTTTCTCCATTGCGTTCTGTTTAGTGTCATATTTTCATTTAATTCTAATAAATTAAGATATTTCTTTATACAATAAGCCCAAGTCTTCCTAAGTCTACCTCTACCTTTATAAACATATGTCAAATCTAAAACATCTACTCTCCTAATCGGATCATTTGGTCGACGCTTAATATGGCCCAATCATCTAAGACGACTTTCTCTAATTTTGCGTGTCACAGGAGCTACACCAACCCTATCACAGATATATTCATTTCACATTTTGTCTCTAAGTGTAAAGCCATCCACCTAATCATTCTCATCTCGACAATACTTAATTTAATATTATGGTTTGCTTTTAAAGGCCAACATTCAACGCCATAGAGCATTGCAAGTCTCACCACCGTCCTATAAAATTTTCCTTTCAGTCTAAGCGGTACTTTTCTATCACACAAAAGGCCTGAAGCATTCCTCTACTTCAACCAACCAATTTAAACCCCATCTATATCACCATTGCTTTGAAAAACAAACCCGAGATATCTACTTCATTTACACATTTTAATAATTTGATCACATAAAGTTACACTTCTATTACTAGATCTACCACTACTAAAATGACATTCCAATTATTCAGTTTTAGTTCTACTCAAATGATGGCCTTTAGACTCCATTGTAGACCTCCATAATTCAAGTTTTTCCTGGGCCTTTTCTCTCGTCTATCCATGAGAATGATATCATTAGCAAAAAGCATACCCCAAGGTACATCCTTCTGTAAATGTCCAATAAGACCATCCATAATTAAAGCAAAACAATATGGGCTTAAAGCCAATCCTTGATGTAATCCAACAAAAATAGGAAAATATTTGGTCAATCATCCTTCAGTTCGAACACAAGTAACAACTCTAGTATACTTATCTTTAATGACTTGAATATAAGTTATATCAACATCTTTCTTCTCAAGAACTCTCCAAAGGATATCTCTTGGAACTTTATTGTAAGTTTTTTCTAAATTAATAAAAATCAAATGTAGATTCCCCTTATTATCTCTAAAATTTTCCATCAAACCTCTCAATAAATCCAAATTGATTATGGAAATCTTTGTAATACGTCTTAATTTATGTTCAATTACCCTCTCCCATAATTTTAAAATGTGACACATCAACTTTATTCCTCTATAATTTACACTCTTGTGCATCCCCTTTATTCTTAAAAATGGGGACCAAAATACTCTTCATCTACTCAGACATCTTTTTAGTTTTTCAATAATATTAAAGGGTTTAGTAAGCCAAGAAACTCCCAATTCTCCTAAATATTTCCACACTTTTATTGGGTTATCATAAGGTTCTACAGACTTTCCACCCTTGGTTTTCTTTAAAGCCTTCTCAACTTCTTTTTACTAATGCGAGGGTAAAAATGAAATATTTTATTATTATTTACGATATTAAGATCACTATGGTCGATCATATTTTCAGAAACTTCATTAAAAAGTTTATCAGAATAACCTATGTTGAATATTTTTTGATTTTCATCTTTAATGGACTTTACTTAAGTGAAATCCATACTTTTCTTTTCTCTTTTTATAAAGATCATTAAAAGAAGAACTTTTAACGACACAGATTGTTCTTTTACACTTCCTGTGGGCCGTTTGATATATTCCCCAGTTCTCTAAGCTTTTACATTTAAACTAATTTTTATCACATAACAACTTATATTTTATCTTTTCTTGCACATTATTATTCCACCACCAAATATTTTTATTTAAAGAAACTCTTTTATTTGTTTCTCCAAGTACATCTTTTGCTACTTGTTTAATAGAGTTTGTTACTTAATCCCACATAAGATTTGTTTCATCATGAACATCCCAAATTTTTAAATCTTGAATTTTACTCGTAAAAATAATTTTATTTGTATCTTTTAGGCTCCCCCATCTAATTCTACGATGATGGGTCCTAGTATTCCTTATTTTACAACTCTTCATCTTAAAATCTAGAACTGATAAACGATGTTGGGTACTTAAATCCTCACTTGGAATGACCTTATAATATTTACAATATCGACGATCTCTTCTACTCATAAGAAAATAATCAATTTATGCTTTATTAGATTCATTCTTATAAGCAATAAAATGTTCATCTCTTTTCTAGAATAAAATATCAGTAATAACAAAATCATACGCTAAAGAAAAATCTAAAATAACTATACCTTCTTCATCAGTCACTCCAAAACGGTAGCCACTATGAATATTTTTGAAATCTTCTATCACTCTATCAACGTGTTCATTTAAATCTCCAATAAAAATTCTTTCTTGAAGAGGTATCATTTGTATTAAACCTTCTAAGTTATTCCAAAATTTATTTTTATAACCTATATCTAAACCTACTTGACGAGCCTAAGCACTTGTAATATTAAAAGTTATAGTATCAACAATAAGCTTAAGGGCTATAATTCTATCTCCCACTCTATTAGTTTTTACAACATTATTTTTCAAACTCTTATCTATAATTTCGCCTGCACCATTTCTGGTGCGACTCTTGCTAGAATACCAACATTATCTTTCAAACTCTTATCTATAATGGAAATCTTCGACTTGCAGGGAATGAATAATTATTAAGTCCTCTTTCCGGACAACACCTATAAGGAGACCCACAAACCTTCAAGGTTTTTGTGAACTTCTAAAAATATATATATTTTTTCTTTACGATTAATCCCATTCATTCGTATCTTCCATCCATCTAAATTCTTTAGTTATTTACTAAAGAATTTATGACATTGCCAATGTTTGGATTTATTACGACATAAATAATAGGTGCCAATGAAATCTATTATATTATATTGCCAAAACATTTCCCACGATAACAAAAAAGTGTTCTTTTTTGTAACCTAACTTCTTTCTTCTTATATTCTAAATGACAGATATAGATTTACTTTAATCGAAAGTGAAAAAAATCCAACTTCCATCTTTTATTTTTTTATTAAGGATTCTAAATATTAAGAAGTATTTGAATTTTTGACTTCTAAGATTCATCGAAATAGCTTTATTAGTTCTAACAATTAAGGTGGTTTAAGCTATTGAAGTTAATATTAGTTGGGCATGATTGTCAAAATTATAATGACTTTTTTAATTCAATTTGCAGTTGTCTCAAACGGGATGCGTGCTGAACATACGGCCTGTGAAAACTGGGCGGTGCAAAGCTGAAGTGTCATAGCTGTTTGAGTGTGCCTAGTCAGTGTAGACATACATTGGCACGATTGAAGCTTTTATGATTCAGCAATGTCTTCTAACTTTATTGACTTGAAAATATAGTTAATGCCCTGTCAGTGAGAGCATGCATTTGTTCATGCCGCTAATTGTTTTTCGTAGCACCACATTTAGTGGGATCATAGGTGTAACATCATCGAATACTAAAGATTGCTTTTTAATAAGGCAATGGTATTTGTACTTGAATTGCCGACCCTCCTTGGCTTAAGGATGAAAGGAAACGAGAGTGATTGTGGGCTCTCTTGACTGCATGGAATGTTGAAGGAGTGAATTAAAAATATTGAGGATTTTAATACCTTGTTTAGGTCACTTTTGGTATATAAATGTGTGATAGAAATTCCTATTTTTTTTAATTTTTTATTGCTGGTTTAGGATTTCTTTCTAAATATATCATAGGCCAATTCTTGTCACACACTTGATATGATTTGCCAGTTTGGGTTGTTATATATTTAATCTTATTTAAAGTATAAAAATGTTCATGATCAGTGTTTCTTAGATTGAAACGAATCATCAGAACTTACTCAAAAGTAGCATGTGGGCGCATCATTTCATTTGTCATCTCTATTTGTTAGTGTGATAATGGAATGCAGTTAGAGTGTGCCTTCATGCATAAATTTGATGGATCTATTTCGAGCTACAGTTCATGCAAAATTTCAATTGTTTGTGGGAGGGAGATGTTTTGGATCTTGCTTCATTTTTTTGGCTAATGTCATTCCTATTTGTCCGGGGCGAGTATTGCACTATAGTGCTTAAGTTATGTTCGGGACATGAGACATATGCTTGACATATTACCTATTTGGGGTAGCTGTAGCTGTTTGAATCAGTTGTGAACATGTAAAAGGAATTACTTTTCAAAAAGTTGCAATGGGTATTATAAATTTATTTTATTTTTAAAAGATCAGATCGTATTTTTTTGGCGGCTGCCACACTTTTGCAATTGAAGTTGAAAAAAAAAACAGTTTTCTAATACATAAATTGTGTGTGTGTGTGTGCGTGTGTGGGTGTTTGGGGGGGGGGGGGGTGTTTTCTGTCCGGACTCCTGACGTAGCTCTACGTGCGACGTAGGTTATTCCTGAATTATTTTCATGTTATTTTTGGGTTATTTTCAATAATCTTGAAATAACTAAGAAATAACTTGCAGTATTTATTTTTTGGTTATTTCAGTATTATTGAAAATAACATAGAAATAATCTGAAAATAACTCAAAAATAAGTTCGGCCGCACGTAGAGCTATCAGGAGTACGCACAAAAAAATTTTTGGTGGGTGGGTGGTTGTATATATATATATATGTATATAACATGGTGGCGGCAGAAGGTGCTCTGCTAGGGTTCCCCTAAGGGGTGGCAAAGGACTTGGTGGAAGCTTACAGGCAGCTAACACACTGTAGCAATTGAAGTTGAAAAAACAGATTTCTAATACAGAAATTGGAGGGTGGGTGTATATATATATATATATAAATATATATATAT